CTTTCCCTCTGAGCATGATAGGCCAGAGTCTCTTCCAACTGTGGGAGCTGCCGTGGACATAGGTGTCTAAACACAATCCTATTCCACTCTGAAATCCAGTAACGCCTCTGCTTTTGTAACATGCTGGCCGCATCTACATGTGTGCTTTAATGCGCATTAACTTATTTTAATGCACATTAAAGCGTCACAGAAAACCTATGTGCTTTTGTGAAGGTGCATTAACATAGGCTGATGTGCCTTTTTCTAGTACCTCACAAAGGAGGTAAAAAATGTAAGGCACAATAGCAAAAGTGCATTAGTGAACGTGTAGATGAGCCTGATGTTGCTTAGCTTATGCCTGAGTCAGAAGAGCAGGGGGCAGGAGGAAGAGGGCTGTTCTCAGTGGGGGCAGACGACAGGACAAGGAGCAATGGGCACAAGCTGCAGCAAGGGAAGTTGAGGTTGGATATTATGAAAAACTTTCTTGCTAGGAGGGTGGTGAAGCACTGGAGCAGGCTCCCCAGAGAGGTGGTGGACTCTCCATCCTTGGAGGTGTTGAAGACCCAGGTAGACAAAGCCTTGTCTGGGAGGATGTAGTTGGGGCTGGTCCTGCTTGGAGCAGGGGGTTGGACTAGATGTGACCCCCTGAGGTCCCTTCCAACCCTCATTTCTTATATGATTTCATAATTCTCTGAATAAGCCGTCAGCTTGCTCCGTGCTTGACTGAAGCCATGACTCGGACAAGCTGCCCACCTGTTGCATTAGCAGGTTTTGAGGACCTGAAATGCAATAGGGTCACACTTAGGTGCCCAAGACAGCTTAGGATCTGGCCTTGTAACTTATAAACCAGCTGGGCTGGTGCAATCCCTGAATCTTCCCATTCCTTTGGCCCACGGGTGTACTGGGCTGCTCTGTCAGGCTGTGGCATGCCCCCAAATGCCAGGAATTGCCCCCTGCAGTGACTCATTCTCACGCTTGCACATAGACTTCATTTTCTGTGATGGTGCCTTGCAGGGGATCTTAACGTTAGAAGCATTTTGTGTTCATGCCAGAAGCAACCGCCATTTGCACTCCCACCAGGCTCTCTGGGGTTTTGGTTCTGTTTAATACCCCATTTTTTTTTGCACTGACTGACACAGTTGATGTCCCGCAAATATTTGCTCTGAGATGAACATTTGCAGCTAACTCCTATAACATTTGCATGTGGAGTATCTAAATGTGCATGGGCTGTGCTCTAAACAGCAGACAGCAGAGCTTGGGAATATACCTCCGTGCCCAATTGCAAAGCATCCTCTTGCTGGCTGCCAATTTCTCTGATGATGTCATTATGATGTCACCCACAAAGAACTGCCATGCGGACAAATGAGGTCGCAGACCGCCAGGTGTGAACCTACCTGTGGAAAAGGCAGAGAAGCAGCAGAGGCAGCAGCTTCCAGGCCTGAGATCCCTGCCTGTGTGCAGGAGAGTCCCTGGTGAGGCTGAACCGGGGAGGGGAAAGATGAAAACAACAGAAGACGGTCTAGAGAGAATCGCTTCTCTGCACTTTCTGTGACGCAGAAGCAGCTCTCCGGGATAATTACCTGCCCACTCGGAGCGAGTGTCAGCCTCCCCGGCTCTCTTTCTTGAGCGTGCTGTCATCATCCTGTAAGGACATGCATTTTTTCTCTCAATACCCCAGGGGAATCCAGAACTAAGTAATACGGTTCCTGCTAACCCTTTGCAGGGCAGCTGTGTCCGGAGGAATAAGACTTCACGAGGCTTTTTCACCTCGGAAGAAGTCCTGCTGCTCCTGCCTGTAAATTGGGGGCCTGAAGACATATTGCAGGGCACTGGGTAGGGCAGCGGGAGCCAGAAGCAGGGGACACCTGCCCTGACGCGGGTAGAGGCAGCTCAGAGATTGCAGCGTGACTGAGAAACAGAAGTGCGGTTATAGAGAGCCCCCACCAGCTTTTCAAGCTAGGCCACGAAAATACAGGCGGCTGCATGGAACAGCTGACAATTATAGTCATAGACAAGGAGGGTAGGAAGGGAGCTCAGGAGGTCACATCTAGTGCAACCCCTGCTCCAAGCAGGACCAGCCCCAGCTACATCATCCCAGACACGGCTTTGTCTACTCAGGTCTTCAAAACCTCCAAGGATGGAGACTGCACCACCTTTCTGGGGAGCCTGTTCCAGTGCTTCACCACCCTCCTCATGAGGAAGTTTTTCCTAATATCCAACCTCAGCTTCCCTTGCTGCAGCTTGAGCCCATTGCTCCTTGTCCTGTCATCTGCCCCCACTGAGAACAGTCCAGCTCCATCCTCTTTGCAGCCGCCCTGCAGGGAGGTGAAGGCTGCTATTCAATCCCCCTCAGTCTTCCCTTCTGCAGACTAAATCAGCCCATTTCCCTCAGCCTCTCCTCACAAGTCCTGTCCCCCAGCCCCACAACCATTTTCATTGCCCACCGCTGGACTCTCTCCAATGTGTCCACATCCTTCTTGCAGTGGGGAGCCCACAGCTGGACACAGGACTCCAGATGTGGCCTCCCCAGTGCAATCACGTCCCTCCATCTGCTGGCAACACTTCTCCCAATGCAACCCAGGATGCCGGTAGCCTTCTTGGCACCAAGGGCACACTGCTGGCTCCTGTTCAGCTCCTTATCCCCTGTCACTCCCAGGTCCTTTACTGCCCAGCCAGTCGGTCCCCAGCCTGCACCGGTGTGTAGGATCCTTCTCGTTAGGCTCAGCAGAGCAAGGCTGATGCTGCGGCAGAATGACAGGTTGCCTGTCCTGCAGGCACACGGTGTCTATTTATACTGAGCAGTGGTGCAGCAGCCACCCCTTGAACCCCAGTGTGCCCCGAGGCATCTCTACAGCACCTCATTCAGCTCCTCATCCTAGTCAGCCCTAAGGGGGTCGGTGCTGAGGCCTCCAGCTGTGAGGCAGGGGCATGAAGTCCCCTGCTTCTCCATGCGGGCCGTTGATCATCAGTGCTAACGACTGACCGGGGTTTCTAAAACTTTCCACTGTAGTGGCAGTCTGAGGCAGGTCTATTTATCATACCTTGATGGTGGGGCTAGGCCCATCAGGACCTGCAAACCCCACCTTGGTGGCAGGATGGAGGCCACTAAATGTACAGCTAATTCCCTGGGACACCAGGAGCAGAAGTGCAGGTGGCAGGTTCATAACGAGTGTGCAAAGGGCAGAAAACACCAGCTAGCACCCATTGCCCCTTGAATGCGTCTGAGGAGCTTGTCTAGCTTGGAAGACCCATTGATTTGGCCCCGACACTGCTCAGACCACAAGGACTCATGCGGCTCCTTCCAGTCCAGTATCGAGTCAAAGTCCCCAAGGTCCCCAGCCTGTCCTTTCCCCCTGCGTGATGGCAGGCATGAGCTAACCCCACACTGGTCTGTGTTTCAGGATGGGCTTGTGAAGACGAACATGGAGAAGCTGACCTTCTACGCCCTGTCGGCTCCGGAGAAGCTGGACCGCATTGGTGCATACCTCTCGGAGAGGCTGATCCGAGACGTCAGCAGGCACCGCTATGGGTAAGGACACCCACCCTGTAGCTATATAGGGCGATAGCTGTGGTAGCTACCACGCGGGTGCAGACAGTGAGCACCCGGAAAGACCTGGGGCAGGGTCTGGGCGGAGGGGGGCAGTTCATTGCTCAGAGTGCTGATCGGTACCCGTTCATGTGGGTCATGCCTGCCACCGTGTTGTGTTGCCTTAGCAGCTATATGCACACAAAGTCGCGCCAAGACATATACCCTGTGACTCTCTAGTCGTGTGGATGCAGCATATGGCTCCAAACCCAGTTCTTGGGTGAGTACCCATGAGGGAGGGCTTGGCCAGGGCTGTGGCCGGGCTTCACGTGAGCTGAAATGCGAGCTGAAGTTCTCCCTGCTTCTTCCGAATCAGCAGCAGGTTTGTGGACTTCGTGGAGCTGGAGGTGGGAATGCAGTCATGAAGGATCTCATCCAAACCTTTACTCCTGCACTTACAGGGAGATGCTCTGATCCAGGTGACAATCCAGTGCAGACAGAGGGCTGGCTTCTCCCTGCCTGGCTCCTTGGCTGGCCGTTCAGCACGGGGCTAATGGCACACTGGATTCAAGGGTATTTTGGTGCCGTAGCACAGTTCACACTCCCTTTGCACAGGTGCAAACCGAGGGGCAGGCTACAAGGCAGAGGAGGAAGGTCAAGACCACAATGTGAGATCCACGAGGCAGCCGTTATCACTAGGGTTGATTTGACACCTCTTTTGGAGATAATGTATATCAGAGGAAGCAAACCTCGCTGCATTTCATTTATTCTTGCTATGTTGCAGCTTTCTGGCTAAGCCAGCTGCTGGGATTCAGTCTTCTCATCTCTGTCTCCCTTCTTCGCAGTACAGTGGTGGGGGCTGGGGTTGTTTACCGAGGGGCTCTCATTTCTAGCAGCACTGATTAAGGATGCCGAATGCTAGAGGAGCACGAGAGGAATCTCTTTGATATAATGCCGAGATTTATTCCCCTTGTCTCGTGAACAAAGCCCAAGCAGACAAAGTGTCTTTGCTTCGCAGTGTGAAGTTCAGTCTGCCTTTTATCCTCTGTGGGGAAGGGAGGTAGACGCACTTCTAAGAAGGATAGTAGTTGACGGGGGGAAAAAATGGAAAGCTTCATGCACATCAGGCGTCATCGGGACTGACAAAGCGCCTGAAAGCAGTGCCTGATGTTATCCAGTTAAGCAGCTGTTAATAGGACTCTGTTTGTTGCACAGGAAAAAGACTCTAAGAGAGTCTGACATCTAAAGCCAGGCTCTCTGGGGAATATTTCTTTCCCCCTCCTGCGGCAGAGGCACCTCTTTGACTCAAAGCAGTCTGGGAATTTCCCATGGAAGTGCCCGATCCAAAGCTTTTTTCTTCAACCTTTGAAATCAGCTCAGTACAACAGCTCCTGTTGCAGGTCACACCAGCCGGGGCTGACACGCTTCCACAAGCTTTTCTCACGCCACGACCGAAATGACTGAGCAGCCCCGGGAGATCGGCAGAGCGCAGCTCCTGTCTCATGAAAAGAAAGTTTATTGTTGATCCCCGACTCGTCCTCCCAATTCATGGCATCAGATGAGGATAACATCAGCGGGAGCCACCATCCCTGAATAGCAACCTAGACATGGGTTGTTGATTTGTCTAGCTGCGTCTTTAAAACTTCCAAGGATAGAGACACCACCACCTCTCTGGGTAACCTGTCCCAGTGCTTCACCACCCTCCCGGTGAGAAAGTTTTTCCTAATATCTAACCTCAACTTCCCTTGCTGCAGCTTGAGCCCATTGCTCCTTGTTCATCATCTGCCCCCACTGAGAACAGCCCAGCTCCATCCTCTTTGTAGACCCCTGCAGGGAGTTGAAGGCTGCTATTCAATCCCCTCCATCCTAAATAAACCCAGTTCCTTCAGCCTCTCCTCAGTCATCAGTCATGTGCCCTAATGTGTGTGGCACCTTGAAGGGCTTGCACCCTGATTGAGAATCACTGCTGTACACCCAAGGGAGACAGAGGAGATCAAGCCAGCCCCTTCCAGCCCCATACAAACTACCGTATTTACCCGAATGCAAATCAATTTAAGGTGACCCCCCTCAATTACTAGATTCTAGCCATGGAAAATAACACCTCATTGCCGGGAGTTGTTGGAAGCAGAATAGGAGCCAATGTGCAGCGTGTGGGTCATGGTGCAGGGAGACACAGTGCAGACAGGCCTGTGCCACGGCCATGGCAGGATCTGTTCTTTGCTGCAGAGCTGAGAGCAGCTGTGTGGCACCCTTTGGGGAGCAGCAGGACAGCGAGCGTGCATGCATCTCTGTGGGCAGCGAGCTGCCTTCTGCAGAAATCTCTTTGTGCTCGTTCCCCCTCCAGGGGTGGGCCTGGAGGGATGACCATTGGGGACCCAGTGCTAGATACCCCACCGGGCACACCCAGCCTGTCCTAGGGTCTCCACAGATGCCATTAACCCTAAGACCCTGCCTTGCACTTAAATGTCTCCTTCTATATGCCGACTTCTGGGCTGGGGCCAAGATCCTCGCTGCTGTGCTATTCCTTTGCTCAGCAGGTAGAGCTTGGCCCTTGGCACTGGTGTTTTCAGGGAGTTTTGCTGTAGCAGACCTCTTTAGCGTCCAAATCCACTGAGCAGAAACCCGTCTTACAAGGGTGTGCGGGACTCTCTCCCGCATGCATTCATTTCCCGGGCTTTGCAATGCTTTCCCTGTGCAGCCCCCTTCTTGCAAATGGAGCCAGTGCCCAGAGATGCCCAGTGCCTGATTTCCCTTTAGCCCAGCCTGCTGCATTTCCAAGGGTGCATCCTTCTCATCCTTACGCAGGAAAGGGGCTAAGGGGATAAAAAAGGAGCTGAACAGGGAGCTTCAGGAAAGACTGGGGGCAAAGAGAGATGTACAGGCAGTAGAAGCAGGGGGCAGCCACCAAGGAGGCATACACCACCCTGGCGCGCTATTGCAGGGAGTCAGGCAGGCTGAGGCAGGGCTGGAGCTTAGGCTGGCTACAACAATCAAGGACAATGAAAAGTCTTTCTACAGATACATAGCGAGCAAAAAGAAACTGCAGGACAAATCAGGGCAGTTGGTGGTTGATGCAGACAAAAAGGCAGAGCTCTTCAATGAGGTCTTCGCTTCGGTATTGCTAAGTACCGGCCAAGACAATCCCCCACCTTGAGCATAGGTAGATGTCCAAAAGGCACCAGACCACCAAAGGTTAGTGTTGACTTCAAGAGCACTTGGAGGGCCTGGATGGGTACAAGTCAGCCAGCCCGGCCGACCTCCATCCACCGGTGCTGAAGGAATTGGCCAGTGTCATTGCTGAGCCACCGGCACAGCTGTTTGAGCTCTCGTGGTGCTCCGGCCAGGTCCCTGAGGACTGGAAAAGGGCCAACGTGGTGCCCATTTTTAAGAAGAGGAGAAGGAATGAGCTGGGTAACTTTAGGCCGACCTGGACAGGTTGGATCAATGGGCAGAACGTAATAGGATGCAATTCAACAAGATAAATGCAAAGTGCTCCACCTGGGGAGGAGGAACCCCCTGCACACCTACAGGCTGGGGGATGGATGTCCTCCTCAGCAGTTCAGGGGCTGAGAGAGATCTTGGAGTCATCATTGACTCCAAGATGAACACAAGCCGGCAGTGCAACGAGGCCATCAACAGAGCCAATCGCACCTTGTCGTGCATTAGCAGATGCATGACCAACAGAGCGAGGGAGGTGATGTTGCTGCCTGTAACCTAGACAACCCAATCCAGGAGGTATCATTAGTCCAGATGTGACATGTAGGTTAAGCAATTAGTTGCACTTTCCTTAAAGAGATCCACGAGGGTCTGTCCCGGGGAGCAGGCACTTTACCAGGTGCCTGCCGGACCTTTACCGGCAGCACGATCCCTCCAGGTGCCTTCCCTTCATGAGACCTGTGAAATGGAAATGGAGCTTTCTTTCCATTTGTCCCCATGCTGCTCTCCGACGGCCGCGGCTCATCTCTGTTGGGCACAAACGCAAGCCTCTAGAACAGCATTCATAGCGACTTCGTCCACTGATCCCTAAATACTTCACAGCCATTAATAAAAAGTTTCAGGACTTCCTCGGGAGCCTGATTAAGCACCGTGCTGCGTTCCAGCGTCCCCCCTCGGTCGGGCTGAGAATAGGGAGAATAAGGGAAAATGAATAGAGAGAATAAGGGAAAATTCTCCCTATGCCAGCTCTGAGCTTTCCTTTCTTTCTTGACCATGGAAAACTCCTGGAGCAATTCTTCCATTGGGGCAGCGTGGTTTGAACACTCTGGATCCTTGCTTGAAATCTCTGGGTTTATCTTGTGTATCACGTGCAGGTGTTTGCCCACCTAACAGCGCTAATTTTTTAGCATGACATGGCACGCCTTAAAAAAAAAAGGATTTCACAGCACCTGGTTGAGAATCACTGCTGTACAGCCCTGGGAGACGTGGGAGAGCAAGCTGGCCCCTCCTAGCCCCAGACAAACTACCGTATTGACCTGAATCCAAGACAACTTTGAATTTAAGGCCACCTGCCAATTATCCAATTCTAGATATGGACAATTATACATTTGCTCTAAATTTCCATGTCTAAAATTGAATGATTGGAGGGTTTTCTTAAATTCATCACCCCTCCCCATTGGGGGGGGGGCAGACAATGTGACCCGCCAAGTGCCTGTGCCCCCAGAAGCTGTGCCCCTTGCTGCCTGCCCCCATTGCTATTGCCACTCCGGGCCTGCTCCCCTGCCACCATCCCATCTGCCACCACTTACCCTGTGCAGCTTCCTCTCTGCTTATCCCGCAGGCATTGGCCCCTTGCCCTGAGACAGCACTCAAATCTAAGACATGGATTTTCCCCCACGTTAAATGGGGGTGAAGGGGGGTGTCATCTTGTATTCGAGGAAATATGGTACATGGGCCACCTTAGGGCTGTAGGTTTTCTTGGATCCTAATTGTGGCCTGACACACTTCAGTTCCACCTGCTATCGCCCCCATATAGCATTCAACCTGTAGTCTCTCCCTGCCTTGGGTTCCCATTGATTCAACGATGATGCACAGCACGGCTCTTGCTCGCAGGGGTGCCGAGAGGATAAAGGCATTCAAGTTTGCAATGGGCTCAGATATGAAGGTCATTACACCCACAACGTGACACGTGGCACGGTCCTGATCATTGTCAAGCACAGATGAGATCACGGCCGATGTGCTTTTCTTTCTAACGGGGTGTTTTCATTCCAAAGCTGTGTTTTCATCACTTCTGACTCCCAGCGCCTGAGCTGCTAATGAGCCGTGAGCCGGAGTGCTGCAGAGACCTCACCATGAATGCAGAGCGCTTTAGATGTGCCCATGGCTGGAGATGGGGGCCAGTGTCTCAGGGGTGTAAAAGCTTTTGGGTCTTGCCACAATGGTGCCTTCTTTCTGCTTGGCTAGATGATGCCAGGAGCATGGCAGCAGATTAGTTTCCTCCATCTGTGTTGTGGGTCGGACTGGACTAGACGACCTGTGAGGTCCCTTCCAGCCCTTCTGTTTCGCAGACTCTCCTTCCTCCTCCATATACCCTCTCACTGGATTGTACAAGCATTTTAGTCTGCAGAGGAGAAGACTGAGGGGGGATTGAATAGCAGCCTTCACCTCCCTGCAGGGGGGCTGCAAAGAGGATGGAGCTGGGCTGTTCTCAGTGGGGTCAGATGATGAATAAGGAGCAATGGGCTCAGGTTGCAGCAAGGAAAGTTGAGGTTGGATATTAGGAAAGACTTTCTTACTAGGAGTGTGGTGAAGCACTGGACCAGGTTACCCAGAGAGGTGGTGGACTCTCATCCTTGGAGGTTTTGAAGCCCCAGGTAGACAAAGCCTTGGCTGGGATGATGTAGTCGGGGCTGGTCCTGCTTGGAGCAGGGGGTTGGACTAGCTGTGTCCTCCTGAGCTCCCTTCAACCCTCATTTTCTCTGACTCTAAGATTTGCAGTTGCTCAGTGCAGCCGCCTTTATTTTCATGGCGTAGCTTGAAAGGCTGGAGGGGGTTTTCTGTAACCACAGTTCTGTGTCTCTGAGCTGGCTCTCTCTGCAAAGCAGCCTGCTGGGGATACCGGGCCAGCTCCTTCGCTGGTGTAAATTGCCGGAGTGAATGTTGAAATGCACCCACCAAGGACCAAGCCGTATTTGTCATTCCCTTTAAATTTGGGCTGGGATAGTGCCCGTCCCTGCGTCTGGGGGCACTCAAGCAATTCCCCGTGTGCCCGTCTCTCCTGTAAGTAACCAGCCGGAGGCACGAAGCAGATCCCAGCACGGCCCCGGCTCACAGACACGTTCCCTGCCGCTTGAAGCAAGAGATTCAATTTGTCTGGGAAACGCAGTGTGACACAAAACACATTCTGGAATTGCAGTCTAATCAGGCCAGCGCCCCGGGAACGCGCCGCCAATAAAGATTCATCTCCGGGAGCTCAAAGGTCCTGTGCTCTCTTCTTGCCTGTTGCAACATGGGAGCATTAGAGAAAATGACTCAGTAAGTGGCCCTGCCGCCCGGCGGTGACAGCTTGCTGCAGACAGCTTCGCCAGCAGCTGGGCTGCTTTTCCAGCAGGCACTTTCTAGTGGCAAATCGCTCATAGATAACAGGGAATCGCTGCATAGGAACATAGGAAGTGCCACGTGCCGGGGTCCGTCGTGCCCAGCCTCCTGTGTCGCACGGCGGCAGAGAGCCGAGGGCAGAAGGGAGTGAACTGGGTCTGACTGGGGTTTTTTCCCCCTGTTCCTCTCCCTCGCAGCCTCCAGCATTGAGGGTCCCGGAAGGTCCGATGCGGGGGCCGTGCCCCTCACTCCCATGCTCAATAGTGATCGATGCCCCCTTCCTCCAAGCCCGTGTCCAGCCCTTGGTGGATCTGGCTGGACTCTCAGCTTCTCATCTGGTGGCCACGAGCCCCATGCTTTAATGCCATGCTGGGTGGAAAAGTACTCCCTTGTGTTAGTTTAAAACTTACTGCCTCCTCGTTTCATGTTGTGACCCCTTGTTCTTGTCTGGTGAGAGACAGTCAATAGTAAATCCCTAGTGACTTTCTCTTTAGCATTTAGTATGCTGTAAACCCTTCTCATAGCATCTCTTTTCTACCCTGAACAGGCCTGGCCCCTTTATTCTCTCCTCCTAGGGAAGCCTGTCGGTACCACTCATCATCCTTGTGCATCTCTGTACCTTCTCTTAGTCCTTCTGTATCCTTTTGGAGGTGCAGGTACAGGACTCAAGGTGTGGATGCAGCGTGGGTTTATATATAAAGGGGGATCATGGCACTTTCCATTTTATTTACAAGACCCGTAACAGTACTAACGCTGGGGGCTGATGCTGGGCTGTGCCATGCCGGCCTTGGTGCAGAAGAGCTGCTGGGGAGTTCGCCTTCCCCTCGCTTTCCATCGGAGGTGGGGGCTGGTCCCCTGGAGTGGGATGCAGCCTTTTTATCCAGGTGTTGTTTTGGAAATGGCTCCTGGTCGCAGCACGGTCTGGCTTTGCAAGGTTAAAGCGGTAGTGGTTTATTCAGCCCTTTCCACAAGAGGCTTGTTACAGGGCAGGCTTTCTTCCTGCAAGGAGACAAACCACTGGTTCCCTCCCGCTGACTTCCTTTTGGGCTCTGCTCCGTCTCCCCGCAGGTATGTGTGCATTGCTATGGAGGCGCTGGACCAGTTGCTGATGGCCTGCCACTGCCAGAGCATCAACCTCTTTGTGGAGAGCTTCCTCAAGATGGTAGCCAAGCTGCTGGAGTCGGAGAAGCCCAACCTGCAGATCCTGGGGACCAACTCGGTACGTAGCAGCCCATCCATTGCATCTGTCGCGGGCATCCCTTAGCCATCCTGACTCTGCCCATCACAGTATGCCACTGGAGACCCAGCCCCACAGGGCAAAATGGCTTTGATCAGGATCTGGCCTTCCCTCCTTTGGCCACGTCTTTGAGTCACAGTGCGAAGTGGGGCGGCTCAGCACGGCAGACCCCCGTTGGGAGAGGGGCTGGGCTGGAGCAGTGGGGTTGGGAGCTTGCAGGGCGGGATGGAGGAGCATTAACAGGTGGTGTCTGGAACAGCTGGGTATTCCTCAGGCTGGATGCATCTGCCTGGCTCCTGGCTCCTTGTCTGAAACCTTGTTCCTAGTTCCCAGCCCCAGTCTGGATCCCAGTTTCTAGCCCGGGCTTGTAACGCTCTAGTGTCAAGCCCCGGCTGCTCACGTCCTGGCTGTCCCCTGGACGTGCCTATATGATGCATGCGTGTCTGGTTGTCACTCAGCTCTCTGGTTCTGGCCACTTCTGCGGCCGCAGCGAGACAGGGTCGGTCTCTGCAGTGCTTCGTCCTAGATGAGAGTTGGGGTGGAGCAGAGCAGTGGGTTTATGATCTCCACCGCCCGAAACCCAAAGCCTTCACACCCCGCTCTTCAGCGCTAATTGTATTAAATTGGCAGTGACTGGAGCGTCTGTCGGCAAAGCTGTTCATCCACGGGCAGCTCAGAAGAAGCAAGATAATGGACAGGTCAATCTGAACGAGCACAGGGCTGCTGGGAGTGGCCCCACGTGGTACGGCAGCGCCGGCACTGACGGTAGCGATGCTGCCGTCACGTTGTGGAGGGCAGCTGCTTGCCGGTGTCGCTCGGACCCTCGCAGCGGCAGGGGAGGTAGGACCGAGGATT